AAAAAAAAAAAAAAAAAAAAGACAGAGAAGATTAACTAACACCTCAATTAAATTTATTATGGCAGGCAGATCTTTGTGAGTTCAAGGCCAGCCTGGTCGACAGAGCGAGATTCAGGAAAGGCGCAAAGCTGCACAGAGAAACCCTGTCTCGAAACCCCCCCCCCCCAAATATTATTATGGACTTCCAGTTCGTGTATTGTTTTTCGGGACAGTCCCTGCTGGCGATCCCTCCACCCAACCTCTTTCTCCCTGGCCCTTATCTCTATTCTTTAGTAGTTGTCTAGAGGTTCTCAAGTCTGTATTTTGCTTCCTCTCTCCCTTCTACATACGAGGCAAGCCAGAAGCTCCCATTTTCCCATGTATCCCTACTACAGGCGTGCGTCTCACCGAGCCCAGAAATTACCCATAATTTGCCCACAATCGGATGAATTGAACTAGTAGGAATCAGTTTTCCAAGGCAGGAAATGGGCAGGAAGTGGAAAACCCCGGAGAATCTTCCCTATTTTCCCCTCTGTTCAGGACTGGGTTTCACCAGTCTGTGTCTCTGTCCTGAGCGAAAGGTTTTCTTACATTAGGTTCGTCTCGGTACATTAGGTTCGTCTCGGTACGTTAGGTCCGTCTCCGGCGCGACTGGGTTTAAGCTCCCGGATTCTACCCGGAGTTAGCTGGAATGGTCCCAGGCATCTGGGATGTCTAGAAGTAAGCTGGAGAGTAATTCTGAGAGAGTTCGAAGTTTACAGGAGCTTGGTTGCGTCAATTTCGGACTACCTCCCACCCCTACCGCCGCGGCGTTTCCGGTTCCCGGACAGTGATCGGACAGGACACCAGCGCCGCTTTGGGGTGACCCTGCACATGGATAATGCCTTCAGTCCACAGGCAGGCTGAGTGCTGTAGTTCTGCTTTTGATGTTTCCTTTTATTGAAAATAATTTTCTTACATAATATATCCCCATCACTGTTTCCCCTTCCTCCACCCCTCCCAGTTCCCCTCCTATCCAGATCCACTCCCTTTCTGTCTCATTAGAAAGGAGCAGGCTGTCCGAGTGCGGTCCTTCGGTCTTAGCATGAGACCGAGTCATTTAGGGATCTCCATGGGGCTCCCTCGATTAACAGCTCAACTGAAGGCAACCCAGTCCCACTACTGGAAGCCTTGCCTCGCTACAAGAGATGGCCAGTTTGGACTCTGTATTTTCCATTATTAGGAGTCCTCGCTAGGATCATCCTCATAGATCGCAGGAAGTTTCCTCTGCGCTAGGGTTTCCCAATTCCAGCTGTGTCTCTCCGCACTCTCTCCTTCTATCTTTCCTGCCCCTCATACCCAATTTTTCCTGTTCCAGGCCCCATCTACCCCTAAGGGAACCCAGGCCCTGCACTGTCTGTATGGCAAGGAACTAGAGACTGGATTACCCAGAGACCTACAGTAGAACCGAACGCGGCAGGCAAAAAATAAATAAATAAAATAATAATAATAATAATAAAGTTATTCCTACTGATATTCTGTCTTCATCAGAGCCCAAGCAGCACATGGGAGTCGGTGAGAGACACACAGCCAGACATGCGGAGAGAGAGTCTAAATTCGAGGTCTCCTTCGGGTCTCTCCCAGGGGAGATCCAGGAACCCTGAGGAAGATGGAGAGGAAAGACTTAAGAGTCAGAGGGGATGGAGGACACCAGGAGAACACAGCCCACTGAATCTACTAAGCAGGACTCCCATGGGCTCACAGAGACCAAAGCAGCAATCACACACACACACACACACACACACACACACACACACACACACACACACACGTTTAACAATTAATGAAAAAAAGAAGCCATGAATTTGAAGGAGAGCAAGAGAATTTTAAGAATGAATTTTCATGTTAATTCTGTTAAAGTAGTACTAAGGAGTACTTGAAAGGCTGGGCATGGTGGTATATGTGTGTAATCTGAGCACTTGGCAGGTGGGATGCCGGAGTTGGGGTCAACTGCTTCAAGTTTGAGGCAAGCTGGGTCTGAAAAAAAAATTATTGATGGGATTGATTAAGGAGAACACACTGGGAAAAGCCATCAAATGTCAACATTGGGGAGGTTAACATCTTTTTATTTTATAGTACAATGAGTGTTGGAACATTACTTTTTGTAAAAATATCATTTTTATTTTGTATTGAGTTTAAAAGTCCATATTATTAATTTATTCATATACTAATTAATTAGTTAATTGAGACAGGTTCTCGCTACAGAGCTCTGGTTGTTTTGGAACTCACTCCGTAGGCCAGACTGGCCTTAGACTCACAGAGATCCTCATGTTTCTGAGGGAATTTTAAAACAGATTTATAAGTGTGAATGTGAAAGAACTCGGCATAGAAATTGTTTTTCTTGTAGTATAATCAAGAAAAAGGAAACAGGAGAGACTGAATGAGACATTTCAATATTGAATTTTGGGAACTATTTCTTAAAAGTGGAATTAGGGATGGGGCCATACAACTCTGAGGCAGAGCCCTTGTCTAGCACAGGAGAGATCTTGAGTTCAATCCCTGATATGAAAAAACAAAAAAACAATCAAACAATCAAAAAATAGAAACATCTCTCTCCAGTCCTCTGTGCAAAATTCAGTCTGTGCCTGGGTTTTCATGCAATGTGCGGGCCTTTTCACAATTACCCCTCAGCCCACTGGTTCTCTCAGGGCCCGACTGAGCACCAGGATTAGGGATGGAATGGTCCTTCTGGATCAATGTGGGTGAATGCGCTATGATAAAGGAAACAGGAGTCTGCATGCTTCTAATTCCCTCAGCAGCCATACTCAACAGTAGGAGCGAGCTCCAGGCTTTCCCACTGCACCTGTGCTTGTGAACAGAGATGCCCACGGTGGTTGGTTTGCTGCTCTCGATTGTGAAGATTCTCGATGAGTATCTGGAGGTCACGTGGGACTCTAAAAATGATATGCTACACTTCCTTTCGGGAATTCTATTCCCAGAATAGCATAGTTCTTTGAAACCCTCATTTAAATGAGCTTCATGATCCGTGGAAGGTGTGAATGCTCACACCTGCTTTGCAAATTGATAAACTACGCCCCAAATTCCTAACAGGTGGTTTGCTTGAAATCAGGTAATGAGTCAGCAGCTCTTCTGTCACCGGCCCGCTGGCTCTCTGACCTTCCTTTCCATGGCACTGGAGTTGGGAAAAGAAATTAATAGCAGGAGGGTGCTGACCGTTTTATCTTGAGGCCGTTGCGTTTCCCTGTGTGTATGTGTGTGTACACACTGATGCCGCTTGTGTGTGTTTCTGTGTTTGCCTGTGTTTTCTGAAACATTTTTGCCAAGTGGCATTTTCTTCCCACTTCCCAGATGGTTGTTCTGAATTTTTCCTTTTTTGAAATTGCTCACAAATCAGGAGATTCTGCCTGCCAGTTAACAGATTTTAACAGCAGCTGGTAGGTGACCACCCCGTGCCACCCATTCCTCCTACCTCCTTCCACAACGAGGCATCACTGGGTAGTGCGGATAAAGGATGGGATTTGCAGTTTTGAAGAGAGGGGACAGACAGGAAGTGGGTTTGATCCACTGTTGAAAAGATTCTTCACAAATCCAACCGAAACAGGCCTTCTGCTCAGGCAACGCCCACTTGACGGTTTTCTCTCTGACTCTCTGCCCCTTCCCCTGTGTGTGTGTGTGTGTGTGTGTGTGTGGAGAGAGAGAGAGAGAGAGAGAGAGAGAGAGAGAGAGAGAGAGAGAGAGAGAGAGGAGAGAGAGATCCTCTGTAATACAACAGTATTTCTGTCTATTTTATATGGTGCTTCCAGGGACAAGTAAGTTTTAAAAGTGTAACAAACAAAACGTGCTCCTAAAATATTGAAAAGCTGAACTTGTAAAATGTGAAGAGTATCCTACATGGAAATAATTTTGAAATCTTGGAATTTTATACCAATACAGATATACCCTTATTTCCCTTACTTTGTTGGAAAATAAGAGATAAACTGTGACCATCTCCATTATTTCTCCAAATCCTGGCTACCTTTATACTCTAAATTTTGTTTATTATTTATTTTAATTTTTTGTTGAATGACAGGATCTCACTGTGTAGCCCTGGCTGGGCTGGTACTTACTATGCAGATCAGGCTGGCCTCAAATTTGCAGAGAGCTGCCTGCCTCTGCCTCCCCAGGGCTGGGGTTAGAGGTCTGTGTTACCACACCCAGCCTGAGTTTTGTTTGTTACTCCTGCTTTACCTTTCACAGCTGGGCTACATCTTGGCTTCCTGCTTGGAGCTTTGAGTCATTTTTGATAATTCTGTGATACAATCTGGAGGCTTTCATTTGTTTATCGTTTATCACACTTGAAGTTGGCTTTAACCAAGAGTTCATTGTTGTGTATTGAGGTACATCAAATGGAATGGATTTTCAGATTATAGTGATTTGTCCTACTAAAACAAAATCCTGTGAGGAAAACAAATCAAGGCCTTGCTTGAGCTATCTGCTGCGCCGAGCTGGTCATAAGTATCCGAGATGCTGTATCTTGGCTTTGAGTTGACTAGCATGTGCTGTAGAACCGCACTACCCAGGACACAGGCATAGGTGACTTTAGGCATATTAGTCTCTCCATGTCTCTGTTACTTTTTTTCACTAAACAACTACCTGGCTAGTTACTATAAAATTGCTGGGCATGGCAAATTTATGCAGCACATAAGCTACAGGGTAGATGTACATTATCTGGAATTATTCAAGTCTACCTACTTTCATATTTTTCCAAATTTCCTTTAAAATATATATAATGTGTTGAAAATAAAAGGCCATAATACCCTCAATAAATAAAGCCACCTTCTTTCTCTATATTAAATACAAGTATGCCTTAAAAAAAACCCTGACTCTTAACTTGGTTAAGTTCAGAGAAAGAGAGTTGGCAATCTGGGTTTCGAGTGAGCTAAAATGCATTAATTTGCAGGTCTGTTCACATTTAGCACAAACACTATAGTTAGAAAAACACTGTGGAGCTGTTCAGAAACGGAGATGATGTTCACAGTATATTTTTAAGGTGGAAAAAAATAGTTCAACCTCATTTGAAAGGCAAATACTTCCTAATCTGCATGAACAGGTAGTTGAACTTTTGGGCATCTTTTCCTTTCTGCTAATCATGAATATGAGCAAAGCTAACGTGAGCCTGGAAAAAAAGAATGATAGTATTTTCTGACTGAAAATAATCTAGAAATCAGAAGTGTCTCCCCATGTTACCACTGAGGAAACAGACCTGGAAAATATAGTTGCCTTGCTCTAAATTGCAGGAATAGGCTTGATAAGGGACAGACATATGACTCAGGCAATAACTTCAGAGGATCTCACCTCCTTGGGTAAATTAGAGTCTTGATTTGTGGTGATTTCAGCAGATGGATTCTTGACACCCTAGAGGCTAGCCCTGTGATAACAGGAGGCACCTAAATGTGTCTAAGTGTGGTCCAAAGAAGAAGGTTTCATGTTTATGTTTCATTTATTTATCTTCTGAGAGACTTCTGAATACTGGAAAGGGTCTACGGAGGCTTGATGAACTTCCTTTGAACTTTAAAATCAAGAGTCTCTCGACATTAACATTTAAAAGAGCAGCAGCAGCAAACATTTCACAACATAAAGCTGGATAGAATTTAATGGTGTGTAGAACAGCAGGAGAATTGCCTGCCAATCGCCAGAGAGGTAACAAGAAAGTCTGGGGCAAAGATTGAATAAAGCAGGAATAGTGGGCTAGCTGACCTGGTCCGCTGAATGGAGTGGATGGAAAGCCAGGTTACAAAGGGAAATGGTACAGCTTTATCCAAGCTTTATAAAAAAGAAGGGATGTGGTTATTAGCATCATCAGCAACTGAACATTTGAACAAAACTGAAAATTCCTAAGTTAGGTGGGATGTTAAGATAATTTTTTGTCATTTTCTTCTTTGGGGAAAAACATTTACTCTTTCTGGATTTCAATTCCATCCTCTGTAAGATGGTAAGTAAGATAGCGTATATCCTTAGAGGTCTTTTAGTGAATGACATTTAAAAGAATCAGAGATCAGGGATGATGGAAGGATGGGAGGGCTCAGCAGGTAAAGGTGTTTGCTGCACAAGCCTAGTGACCTGAGTTTAATCCCCAGAGCCCACACAAAGGTGGAAAAAGAGAAATGAATGCACAAAAGTTGTCTTCTGTGCCACTCATGTTTACACACACACACACACACACACACACACACACACACACACACACACACACACATTAATATATGTATAT